CCTGGTGATTTGCTACTATTGCTTAGTCAATTTGTTTCTGAAGTGATTTCAAATTCAGACAGACCCATATATCCTTTGTGCTCCAAAGACAGTTGTAGGAACATATCTAGTTTTTTTCATGCTAAAGAAAGAGTTCATTTATTTTGCCTTAAGTAGCCTTATTGACTCGGAGTATGCCTTTTTATATCTTGATCATAAATCAACCCTCTAGTTTATATGAGAGACCTCTTGCCCTAATAGATTTGAAGTTTTATATTCATTTTTATTCTCTTTGACTGTTTTTGAAACTCTTTTTCCTACTGCTGCCTAATTTTGGTTTTTAATTTTATTTGCTTATGTTCCGTTTTCTTGTCTTTGTATGAATATATGTCCATCACTCTTTATGTATTTACCTCTCTTAACCTCCTCTTTAGTCATGTGATTTTCATTTTTCTCCTAATTAAGCCCTTCTAATAAGTGTATTCATTGTCTCTGTGTTTCCAGTGTGGTATCCTTAAGTACTCTGAACACTGCCTATAAAGTTTTAATTTTCTTAGCTGACCTCTTTATTTTTCCATTAGACACACTTCCTCACTTTTGCATAATTCCCTCCTTGGTATCATAGTTCTGTAAGTTTGAATGTAAAGAACATAGCAGTTGCTATTACAAAGTAGCTTTTCAGCTGTAAAAAAATAAACTAGATCTTGCATACTATACTCGACTAGGGCAAGTACTGAGTCTAGTCTTGTGAGCTCCATGAAGCAGTGACTGATAGAGACCTGATTTTTATTGACTGCATTATATCCTATGTGTATCTGCCAGATCCACCTGAGGTTGAGTCAAGTCTGTTACCACCATTACATTTCTCATTCCCGTTGCCTCTCTGCCTATTTCAGTCATTGTTATGATCCTAGTTGTGTGGCCACTAGTAAAGATTCTACACCTGTATTTGGCTTCTATTTAGCCTGGAATCTGTTGGTTTACTGTTGGGGTAGTTGTCTTATTAATTTTATTTGTTCAACTGTCCTGTCTGCTGTTGTGGTTCACTTAAAGCCTCCAGTTATTCCATTGTTTGTCCTCATGTGTTCAAATGTCTCTGGCATGAATCTCTTCCAAGACTGTACAGCCTTATTGTGAGAAATACATATCTTCCTTTTTTTGATAACTCTGGTTGCTTATCTAGTCTATTTTACATTTCTTGTATAATTTGTATCCCAGTATTAAAGTTTTCCCTACCTCTCCAAAGTGTTTATACCTCTGTTTAGTTCAGATTTAGTGCAATTTTGGTTTTATTCTTGACACTCTGTTTTACAGTTCCTGTTTGTATTATTCTCTTCCTAACTTGTCCTTCACTTCTGAATACAGAATATCCCTGTTTATATTCATAATAGAAGCAGCATCCATAATTATACTATCTTCTGTACCTGTCAACTTTTCCAGTGCTACAGTTTAAAACTTTATTTGTGACCTTGTTGAATTGCAAGTACCAGCAGCTTTGGTTCCTTTACAATTCAGATGGTGTCTGTGCTTCCTTTACAGGCTCTCTTTATTTCAATACTTGTGTTGGGCTGTGAAACTAATTTCATTTGTGTGGATGTCCCTACATATTGTACTGCTTACTAGCATTAAAAACTTCCTAAGCATTTTTGTAACACTGCATTTAGAACTAAACTAAATTTGCATTCATGAGATAACATGGTCCTACTCTAAATAAAGATTAAAAATAGAAGTATGTGTATACTCTAAGGTCTCAAGGCCTTATGGTGTACAGTCCTATTACATTAAAATATACATTACAGCTACATTACTATTAAAAGCAAGTTTTTTTAAAAAATGCAGTTATGGTGTGTCATACTGCAAAAGTTTAAAATCTTGTCTTATGTCTATAGCCTTAATGTGTCTGTTTTCCTCTTCAAGTCATTGGCATTTTCACTGTATCTGTCTGTAAGATTTGGTCATCTGCCAAGAATCATACCTTAAAACTGTGCTTGATCATCTCTGAAAAGTTCTCAAATAAAGCTAAATATATTTGACTCCTGGCATCTATTACAGTACTGCACAAATCTCTCAAGCTATTTGACATTCCTGTAGCTCTTGCCTGCTACCTCTCTGATTTCTTTGCGTCATCAAAATTATTATCATAGCTAACTGTTTTATTTAAAGATTTGCATCACTGCCAGATACCAAAATAATTTATAGTCTCTATGAACCTTTTAATAATGTCCTGATGATGTCGAATTACACTAATTATTTTTTCAATGACTTTGTGCAGGAAGGTGGGTTTTTCTCTTACTCAGCATGATTCATATGTTTCATTGGGGTGTTTTGCAAGACCACATTTTGCCAGATAGAGTGCTTTTCTCTGTTTGTTTGAGCTGTTTTCCTCATTACCAGGATGACCTTGACCTTGAACTGCTTTATGCTTAGAACCTGTCCAGTTCATAATTACCTTATCACACGTGTGGTCCTTTACAAATATTATTGCAAGTGATTAGGATACTTTTTTTAGATCACCTTTTTTGTTTTAGAAATAATAATCCAGGTATTGTCACTATCCTACAAGAAGCATTTCCACTAAATAGTAGATTTATCTCAATTAAATTTTGATTTGAATCTTCTCTCTAGCCAGTTTACACATGCTTAAAATACATTGTATTATTTTGAATAGTTTTATTTTTTTAATCATGTTTTTGTGGGGCATCAGATCACTTCATTATAAGAGTTATTACAACAGTCAACTCTGTAATCAAGATTGGAAATTTCAGAGCAAGTATTCATGTCATTTGAAAGGTATTTTCCATACCACTTTTCCCCTTTAAAATTATTTCTCTTTAGATCCCTGTGGATTGGTTTTACTGCTATTCCGTAATGGAATGCATGGTTCACTGCCAGGTTTATGCTCATCTGACCTCAAAGCATTGTAATATAATGAAGATACATGGCTCTATTTATATGTTTTCAATATTGACCCAGTATTAGCTTCCTTTAAAGCTTCTGGAATTATGCACTAATCAATTATTTTAAAATCAAAATCAGTAACAAATACTTTACCTTTCTATAAAAAGTGAAATGTGGTGTTTGGTCCTGTATGACTGCTAGAATATAGAATTGAAATAAGTTTATGCAGATGCTCTTGATCATGATGCTTGATTATGCTCAGCTTTTGGCATTTCTCTTTGCAGTTTGAACATCTTGAAAAGAAAGAAGCTTTTGCATTTTTTAAATGTAGCTCTTACTGAAAAAGCTGTTATGTAGGAAACGTTTAAGTACATGTTTAATATTTTAATTAATATTAATAGGAATATTTTAAACTCTGTAATACACAATGCTATAAACAATCAAAATAGAAATATCAAGATTATTACAATGTTATGCAAATAGATTGCTTCATAGTGCTACCTACAACCCGTATAAAAATACATCTTAGTTGCAGTTGAGTTTATAAGATGCCAATAAGGAATACCTTGCTTGCCTTTTTTTTTAAATGACTAAAATATCCATGTAGCAGTTTTCTATTTGTTGTCTGACCATGTTAAAGCAAACTACACTGCTGAAATATTTATTCCGTCATCTCCTTGTGATGGGATATATGTTTTCAGGGTGTAAGGACAGGTGGAGTAAAACATGAATTAAATAAGCAGACAGAAGTCATGTTATAGAAAATTACTCTTGGGAATCAGTCACTGAATTTAAAGTTAGGGATGTGTTCTAATTCAGATTGGATCTGAACTTTGTCAGTAAGTATGATAATTTTGATCAAAAGTTTTGATGCAGTACCAAATGAAGAAAAGAACCTATAAAACAATTTGAATTAGATTTTAATGAAACTGAATTATATAATTTGAAATTATGTCAGGTACCTTTTGATATGTCAGGTATCATGACATAATGCAATAGTTTTCCATTTTTTTTTCCATTTTTAGCACAGACTAGTGTAGTACAGTGTTCATAGGAAGAGAAGCAATTTTGAAAATGTATGAAACTATTCCTAACTCTTTTTACTATATGGATTACTTTTACCCCCTTAAAATGAAACTGAAATTTATGATTTATTGCGTTTCACTTTCCCCTGAGTCAATATGAACATACGTCTAGCAAGGTAAATGTTACAAAAAAAAAAGAAAGGAGCTACATATATTAAAATATCTTGTTAATATATGATTATGGTCTTGATTACTGAAATGAATATTTACTTTTATCTGAATCAGTGAAATAATAAAATGCCCAATCAGGGAGTATACATATGGGAGTATTTATATATAATTTCTGACTTAAAGAAAAAAAAATTATCTTATGTGTTCAGAAATTACTGTAAAGATGATATTCTATCCAGTACTGTTCAGCATGTTCCAGAAAAAGTTCCCTTCAAGTGTATAATTATTGTCGACAGATGAAGTGCTATTATTATATTGTCAGGCACCATTATTGAAATCTCAAATTAAGCATACTGTTAAACATATGATAGGTTTCTCTAGAAAAATATTGATAAATGTTTATCTTCTTTGTGCAGTTAAATATGAAATGCAAAAAATCAACTATCTGAAGCAGACTATCACTAAAAGTCTTTCAGCATATGCTGAAAAAAAGAAAAAGGTAGAAATCTGGAGATATAAATTAGAAAACACTGGCATTTTTGATTGAAAAATTAGAACACATATCATGCATACATGATAGCTATGAAAATGCACATCTCAGAGTTCTTCGTGTAGTTTTTCAATGTCAAAACAAAGCAAAAGTATGTAAAAATTTCTGTTTAGGCAGTATATCACTTCAGGGATAGAAAAACTTACTAAAAGTCTGCATACACAACTCACAAGTTCTGCTCTCTGTTGTAAGGAATTAAGTGATGCCTACGAATCAGTGTTGAATGATACTTCAGAACTGAACTTGATCACTCAGATTCTAGGCTGCCTTTGAGAATTAATTTTTGAAAAGTAAATGAGGACCTAGGAACATCTTCTATGATCATTCAGATATTGTAATTTTTCACCTAAATTTATTTTTTCTGCAATTTTTTAAAGCACAGAACTGTTACACTTCGTAGACAACCAGTTGGTGGCTTGGGCTTAAGCATAAAGGTATGGGTAACTTCTCATTTCTTCTTTTAATTTCAGTATGACCACTTCAGTCTTGAGATCTCATGGTTAATATGCCTCTCTTACAGGGTGGTGCTGAGCACAAAGTGCCTGTCGTCATATCAAAAATATTTAAAGACCAAGCAGGTAACTTATGTTATTTATTTATATAGTACTGTAGTAATAGTTTCAGGAATCCTTTTTTACTGCAGAAACAAAACCACGATACAGGAAATCTACTGGTGTTCTTAACTTTAATATTGCAGAGGATGCAAAAAGTACAAACCAAATATATATTTTCCCCACACGGTAATTCACTGCTATATGGTATGACTAACTTGCCTAGATGCCAGCAGAGAGTGATTTGTAATGTTTATTGTGGTGAAGATAGCACAAGATCTAAATCAGTATAGTCTATCCTAATTAAGTATTACATTGACATTTATCTAGCAAAAGGAACCTTTGGAAGACCATGTCATTCCTCAGACTTAAGTTGGTAAGTTGGAGAACTGGTCTGGAAAACAAAGAGGCTCTTCAGTAAGGAAAAGTAGAACTCTTGCATGTGGGTGGGCAGAACCTTGCAACATGAACTGAGGTTCTTAGCTGATGAAAGTAAAGTCTTTTCTCTGGTGGACACAGATATGGGGGTTAGTTTGTTCTTTTATTTTCTGAGGCATTCTTTTACATATTTGAAAATTAGTTGTCTTTATGTGTTTCCTCTCTTCCCTAGAATAAATCTACCAACTTCATGTAACCTTTCCTTCAAAAAAAGACAGTGCTGCACTGTGAACCTCAGTGCATGTCCTGCTCTGTAAAGGACTCAAAGCCAATGACATGATCTTTTGAACTCATCAGGCTCTTTTCCTGCTTTGCTGCAATGGAGATTAAGCACATTTGCTTGGCACCGTGTTTAGCCTCATGCTTTACTAGGTTGCAAACTGTGCTTGGTTTTTTCCTCTGAATTTTCTTCAGGGGCCCGTTATTTTACTCGAAATGTAATACCTAAACTTGATAATCCATTTTCATCTCATACCTAGTGAATATTGGCTATGCCAGCACCCTGTTGGAAACACTGCTTCAAGTCTCCTGTGTACGGTACTTAAATATCTCAGTATAATGATTAATTTTATAATACCATTTCTGCAGTGAGGAAGAGAAGGTGTTTGTATGTCAATTGTGTTGCTGTACATGAAAGAGTAATAGGCTCCTTAAATACACACTATAATAAATCATACCAATAAAATAAATGCATAATAATAATAAAATGAATATAAGCATTCAGGTCTAAGGAAAATAATTCAGGAAATTAATCACCAACAAGGAAAGCTATCTCCTGCCCTCTTAGGGCATAGTGCTCTTAATCAAGTTTAGTAGTGAGTTTGTATATAGAATATTTACATTCAGAGTTTCTTGAACTGCATTTATTTCTAGAGTAACAAGTGCAACAACAATTTTATGGGCTCAGCTGTCAAATTTGAAAATGTCTCCTCAGACAATACTAGTTTTAATATCTTGTAACCTTTTGTCCCAGGAAACTCCAAAATGACTGGTGGTTATAACCAGAGGCAGTGCTGTATCACAGCAAGCCTGTATGAAATGTTCCTAGCTGGATCAGTGATTAGCATGAAGATATTGACACATTTGGCAAGGTGTGAAGGAAGTAGTCTATGTAGTATCAGTTGCCCCACTGGCATGAAGTGAATCTCCGGCTTGCTTTCAGCACATGGTGGAGTTGGTTCAGGTGTACTCCTAAGGTCCCTTCCAGCCTGAGTGATTCTGCAATTCATTTAGTGCTGCAGGTGCCAAAGATCAGAGATATGTGTTATAAATGCTTTTTGTGGCACATGGCACATTCTGCATTCCCATTCTGGTTACTGAATGTCTGTGCAACAGAAAATAGCGTAAAGTTTTCTGGTTTTTTTGTTTCTTCCAGAAAATGCATATTTTTAAAAAACATCTAAAGATTTTCAGCAAAATTTTGGAAATACAAAACCTTTTTCTGCAAATCTTTTTCTTTGGATATCTGATCTCACAAATCTTGAAGTGCTGCTGCCATTCCATATAGGAGGAAGATAATAACAAAGGGTATTCACAGCATTACTTTTCTAGTATCATGTTTAACTCATAATTAATAGTAATTGAGAGCACATGTTCAAAGTTAACCCACAGGTGACCTTGAGGGAATATTTCTGATTTAAGATTCGAGTGCTTTAGTGCAAGAGAAAACAGTCTGGTAATAATATTTAAGGGAAAATAAGAAGCATTCTAAAAATATGTACATTCTTTCTCCATATATGTATATATATTTATAATATATATGAATTCACAGATATGCATACCAAAATACAGATGTATTTACATTTAAAAGAATATATGGAAAAATATTTATGTTGAATATAATGAGAGGAAATGTCAAGCATGAGGGAGAGATGAGACTTACAAGTTTACCTCAAACTAAATTTTGGACTGAACATTGTATATTCATGATGTGGAAAAATCACCAATGGTCTTTCATTACATGAAGTACAAATAACAGTGAAAGTTGTAGGCTGGCTTCAAAAGTGGCTTTGAGTTAAGCAGTAAGATTAGTTGCTGCTTTAAAGCAAATATACTGAATTTTAAAAAAGAAAAAAGTTGTATCCTGCAGTACCATTTGAAAGTACATCGTTTATCTACAATGATTTCTTATCAGGGATTTTTACTACTTTAGGTCCTTGAGTAAAATTCTTGAATTTATGTGAGTAAAATTGTCCTTAATGAGTAAAGAATTGATTTCCTAAAATGACTGACAATTTGCAGTACTTTTTATGACACTTAATGCCAGCTATATGACAACACTAAAATCATGCTTCCAACTTTACTTTTTTTGGTTAGAGTACTATTTTTTAGTTCCAAAGCTAGAAGCATAATAGAATAAAGGAGTTGCTTCTTTTTTAGATCTCTATAACCTTTGGGCTATCCTAAGGAGATTAATTAGTCAACTATCTTCATACTATATAATTTTTTCAAATATAGAAGTGATTTTGTTGGTGTTGACCTAAGCATCAGCTGACAGCATTTGCACTTCAGATTTTTATATAGGATGAACATTTCAATTGGATTTCATTTCATTATTCAACACAAGCACTTCTATAGCAACAGTGTTAATAAATAACTATACTTACAGTTTTGACCTCTCAGCTGTGATCGCTATGTTTATAAATATCAAATTAAGCTATCCTGGCTCACTCTTCAGTAAGACTTTCCTAAAGAAGTTCACTGAAACAGAAACTCAATTCAAGAACATAACTTTACATTTCTGAAATACAAGATAAAGTGGTCATTCAGTGCTGGAGACTAATGTCTAGTGTATTGCAAATCACTGTAAAGAATGTCCTGAATTTTTCCTGAACACATCCTCCTCAACAGCATTAAGAGCAAGTTTTGCTAATGCCAATGACTCATCACTGGGTCTAGGCCTTTTAATTTCTTTCTGTGGATTCTGTCTTCCATTCTAACAAAGGTTTTTTCATACCACCTAAGCTTTTGCTAAAGTAAGTTGCAGAGAGACAAAAGTCCTGTGCCAGACAGAATGAGAACAAGTAAATGCAAACACAGTTATAAATTTAAAAGTAGAGTGATATAATTAGCTACAGAATAATTTTAACCCCATAGGTAATTATTTCACTTCCAAAGCCAGGATTTTTTTTTGCTACCCATATATCAAATCATCCAGTTGACTCAGGATATTAGCAACATTACTAATAATGTCCCAGATTATGAAAAGAAATATTGGTGTTCAACCTTCTCAGTAATATTTTATAGGCCTGATTCAGGCTTTCTCTAGTATTGGGTTTTGATATTTTCTTTTTTTTTTTAATATAATTTAATGCAGTATTGTTTTTCCTCTGTTTTCCTTTTGAAACTGGCTTAAAACAGAGTACATTGTACTCTCTCATTGTACAACAGTTGATGATTTGCTAATAGCTTATAGGTTTGTAGTATTTTTATATATGTGTTATAATTAGTATTAACAGTTTATTTGCGGTAAAGGCTGCTGTAGGTTTACAGTCAAATAAATGTAGAGTCCTATTCAGTCCTGTTACTGAATATCCTGAACTTGGAAAAGAATGATACTGGTCAGAATTACTTATTTTACAGTGAATTCACGAGATACATTAAAAATACTTCAGAGAATCTTTAGATGCTAAATGTGGGTAAAGTGTACAAACTTTCATGCATTTATATCTTTCTCTGTGTTATTCCCATTTTTGATTACTAAAGAATCTTAATGAGCTTGTGGAATCTAAAGGGTGGAGATAGTAAAAATGAATAGACTTTGAAAACTCACCTCATCATCCATACAAGTGACATACCGCATATAATATTGGAAATTTTAGTTTGTTAAACATCAAACAATAAGATTACTGGTTTGTGTTGCAGAATTATCAAGTTAGCAATCACATGTTGTCCTCTTGATGCAACTTTCCATTTTTGTGAGACCTGATGCAATAACCTGACTACTGCTGTGAGCTCTGCTCATATCTCGTATAATATGTGGAGTCAGACAAGCAGCAGTGATGAAATAGAACTGTGGGTTCAGCTCATGAGGTGTCATGAAAATGAGTAAATAAAATTAAATAAAACCTGGTGGAATAGGGTTAGTTTGCATTGTGCCACTTTCAAAAAAGATTCTCCCTTGAGAGCCAAAATTCATTAAAATCTTAATTTGAATGCATTTTCCCACCTTCTGTGATAAAAGTTGGCTTGTAACTCACATTCTGCTGTGTTGAAAAATCTTCTATTTTATGTTTAGTCCATTTCTGACTGAGGATGCTGTATACCCTGGCAGGATTGGAACGAACTCCGGCCATTCAGCCACTGAAACATTCTTGGCTTGAAACCATGTGCTCTGCAAACACAGACTGTGTCCAAATATCATGTCCTGGCTGCCTGCATTCAGGACCATCTGAAGGACATGGCGTCAGTTTGATGAGGGCTTTTAACAGTTTCAGTTACATCCCAAACAAAGATGGTTTAGTATGAAATTGTACCTCCACCCCAGGTATATTGTTTTGCGTTGACTGCAGTCATCCCAAAGGGTGGTACAGCTGGGGTAACCCAGCCTAGTCTGAACAAGCTGGTGGGCATGATGTGAGATTGCAGTC